TTCGGATAAACACTGCGATACGAGAATGGTGATCTAGAGGTTTAGCACACCACCTAAATTCTGATCCCCGCAGGTTCAATTCAACAAGTATTTACATACATTAGTATGGTTGTTTATAGAGGTGTCCCGTTTTCTATTTATATGATGTATGTATTTACAAATAAAAGATATTATGTCTACGTATTTCCATAAGTTGTCTAGTACCCATAACAAAAGCTTTGCTTAGCTTTGGACTAGATGGCGTTGTGTGAATTATTTTTATAGATTATTACTGATATTATTTAATAATAATAATAACTGAGGACGATTCACACAGCTAGGAAAATATTATTATTATTCAAGAGGGGCAAGTCAAATGTAATCCCAACTGTTGGCGTCATGTTGGACGCATTACTTGACGAATGTCAATGTATTTCAAGATATATGGCAGATAGTGCCTGAAGCAGATGAAGCCTACTTTTGTCTCTTGAATTAATTTAATTTGTTATCTTCATTCCCTTCACCGGAGAGTTAAAAATCTAAATTGATACACACAGTTGTTTGGTGTCATCCAGATTTAACCTCACGACCTTTGGTGTCAAATTCGGATAATAAACTTCTACCTCACGCATGACGTTCTCTTTAACTGTACTAAATCTTCGAAAAATAAAATATAATAAATATTTTTATATATGTAATAGGTTTTGGCAAACATTGTTTTCCCTTTGAAATTAAAATACCTACTAATATCGCTATTTTTAAAACGTGGTTTATGGTAGAAGGGAGAACATTTTAAATAATTTGTCAAAATAATATGGAAAAATATTTTTCACTAAGGGGTATGAAAAATATTTTGTGTCCCATTCACAGACCTACTGAGAATACACACAAAATTTCATAAGTTTCTGTCAAGCCATTTTGGAGGAATTTTGTTAGAAACAAAAGAATATGTATTTATAATTAGGTACTCCGAACATCCAAACTCACAAAATTTTTACCCGTTTTATAATATTAGTTTCCACGAAAGCATCCGCTGAATAAAATTGAAAACCGTGATATATGGTCAAGACGCAGGTAAACTCATCGAACTTAACTAGTTAATTTTATAATTACTAGGTTTTAAAATAGAATCAATCATTAATACAGACAAAATAATGATGCAATCATTTAAAAACGTACATTGTTGCGAAACATTGAACTTGCGCATATAGTAATTTACGCCTAATAAATCATAATTATATTATGATAATTTGAAACATAAGTCATCATAAATGTAGGACAAACAAAACTTCGATGTAGGTAAATCGCTAGGCTTTGATAAAAAATTGTTTTTAGATACAAATAGTTACGTATCTTTAGCGAAATTAAAAGACGTAGAATACAGAGTGTATATATAATGTAACAAATACTCCATTAGATTTCCTTAGATTTTCTTAAATCTATACTAATATCATAAAAGAAAAGTTTTGCTTTTTTGTATGTTTACAAACATAAAAATTCATTATCCCTGAGGAACACAGGCTATACTATTATAAAAAGTAAGGATCTCTACTAACAATAATAAAAGAATCTCCACTCGGGCGAAGCCGGGATAGGCCGCTAGTTATTAATAAAGCCGATTTACTTAATGATACCAGAATAACATAAAAATAATTACAAAATATAATTTACAAAAAGTAGTATCATTATTCTAAAAATATTTATATTAAGTATAACTGAACAATATTTATCCATTTATATTCCTCTGTTCATTTATTTTATGTAGTCTAAATTGTTTTTATAATTACATTAGATTTATCAAACTAAAACATAGTGATATTTTTAGTGAAATAGAAATTATTACGTCGTGTAAATTTAATTTTACTAAAGCTAAAACTGTAATTCTAACAGGTCCATAATATTGTACGGTACTTTATTTCTTTATTTATGTACAAATACAGAAATGATGTGCACGCAGATTTCAGTTCCTGTGACATTTTCACCAAGCCAATCATATACAGAATAAACAGAGATGTATGTAGTTGGTACATATTCATAATTACTTCAACATTTATGAATGAATTAAAATACTAATAAAATACATACATGATTAATATACAGACAAATCAATTAATATATTTGTTGAATTAACTTATATATATTGTATATTGGACGAACAAGTTTCATAAAATTAATTTCATTGCTCGAGAAGTGGGAAGCGGCGATATGCATCAAGCGAGTTATGAATATATAAGTAATGCAACTATCAAACAAAGTTTATACTTCTGGAATATAAGATTGTACAAATCATCTTTATAGATACTGCAGCGTCATCTAATACTGTCGTTAAACAGATTTCTTGAATGCTGTCTTCCGGTTTGTAGATTGAGGTATATTAGCAACCCATCCGGCATCGCACTCGTCCATTTATTGGAGACATTCTTTATTATTTAGTTAAAATATAGCATATTTTATTTACGAATAGGGTATTGCTCGTAATTGCTGATTCGTAATGTTATGCAGGGGACATTGCAGAATAAGAGGGACAATATAAATATAAATAAATGTTCACATATATGATAGAATCCTCTGGAATGGTAACGCATGAGTGATGTCGCGGGTGGCATATGATAACGAGATATTCATAGTGCTGTTTATGTATGTTGGTGACGGTTACCACTTACTATCATAAAAATAATAAAAATGCAGTTTTCTATAGGTGAAAGTTTTTAAAAATAGGTTAAGTATTTTGAAGGGTATTCATTAAAAACAATAATACTAATCCTCTCTTTACAAATGAATCCAATGTGACAAATAAAACACAGAGACAGAGTGCAAATAAAACAGAGTTTGTTTTATAGTACCTATAGAATTAGCTATTAATAAGTAATTAAAATTAACAGGTTTTTGCCATTCCAATTACATAAAAAAAGACTCCAGTATTGTTTTGTCGATTTATGTAAATATATAAAAGAAATAATTTAAGTATAGTTCTTTCTATCTCACTTGTTGTTTAAACATTCGAATAGGTATATGTAGGTGCAGTAGTCTCTACCATTCTCCATCGCTGTCGACTCTTATCTCCTCTCATCTCTCCATCAGCTTTCTACCTGTACTGAGATATCTTGCGTTCCTATCGATATTTATTTGCAATTTCACAATATAGGAATAAGATTTTCAGGTTTCGTAAGTTTGCTCGCGTGACCTAAATTTCTAGGGAGATAAAAAGTAGTCTACTGTCTACATTCACCTCCATATAGATTCACTACTCCGTACAGATATGTATCAAATTTCAGGACCATTGGTTTCACCTGGTATAGTTTCACGTATAATATGATGATAATCACTCTATTGATTCGTTAAATATGACAGAGTATATATATTATGTATGCTTGTTGTATACATATAAACAGTGAATCCCGTATCAAAATAAGCAGAGACATAAGCAGACGACAATACCGACATTTCTTTTATAGTATTAGAAAGAAACGAAGAATTTTAAACAGTTGAAAAAATATATTACCATAGATCGTGCAAATAAAAAAAGCATTTACAAAAAAATATCAACCTGTTTATGGTGTACCACAATCACCGTATCGCCACGACCCGACCTCTCCTCTTATCAGACAATTAACTTTAATGGGTATATTTAAATTAGTGCTCTACACTTTATCGACTGTGTTATCAATTTATTATTTAGATATAAAAGTTAAGTAGCTGTATGAAAAATAAATGTTGACCTATGGAATCAAGACGGGACTGTATGAGGAAGCCGAAGATGACCAGCGACCTATGGAAGGAACACAATAAAGGCCGATACGTTAGTACTCCAAACAAAATTCACTACTGTATACTAAGTTATAATGATAAATATGTAACGGCATAGCTAAGAAAGTGGCGATTTGTATCATAAAGTTCAAAACTTATTTCCTACTGTCTCCAGCGAAATCTCTCTACAATATTCTAAAAGTGGTGAAGGTGAATGTTGAAGCAAAGGGGTCTCTTATACACCCATATACACCCGAGTCACAAGACCCCTGAAACTGCTGGGAGTTTTCTTTGCCATACGATGAATCCAGCACACGCACGGTGAAACCATGAAATGCTAAAAAGTTCTCTCTTTCTCCAACTTATCCAACCAAAATAATTTTTAACTTTAATTCTTCGAGAAAAGTATTCAGATTCATAAACATTTACAATTTCGATTTAGTATATATACTCTCTAATGGGTACCTATTAGACAACTGATACAAATACATAGATATTTTTTTTCGTAAATTCATACATATTATACATAGAAAACACCCAGACTGGTACAAACAGTCATACTCATGAATACAAATATTTGTGCCGTGCGAGGAATCAAACCCGCGACCATCGGACGTAAAGCGGTGTGCTAAACCACTAGACCATCGAGGTTGTCGAACTTGCTTTAAAAGTTTTGTTTTTATATATTACAGAACTAAGTAATGTGTAAATGAATTTAAGAGAAAAGCAGAAGTCTCTTGAGTGCCAACTTCATGCAGATAAATATGTGCAGGAGAGCTTGTAAACCAGATAATCGAAATAAAACGTCACTTGATATCACTAATATGTCTATTTGTAAATAAAACAAGGTAGAACATCACTAGTTTTAATAGTCCTGGGAGATAGCAAAGCGAAGGTGAATAAAATCAAGGCACTATTTCTTAATAGTATTTACCTGTGTTGATATTTACTAGTTTCTGTTTTTTTTTTCGTTACATATCTGACTACAATTATAGAGACTTTCTATAAAAATATTCCATATGTCTTACGTATATGATTGTAAAAAGTACACAACTAAACTATCAGTGCCCATATAAAATTAATTTTGTTTTGTGTATCATACTAAGTAGGTATACATAAAACAAAAATCATTACTAAAAAATGATTTGTGAGAGGGCAATATATGAATTAAAAGAAAGATGATATAAATATTTTTCTTTTAACGCTGTATATCAATCATTAACACTAGAAATGCAATCTTCGAAACGAACTTACGAAGGAAAAATATTAGTAATTGGAAATGAAACCAATATTTCAGTATGAAAGAAATATTTATATTTGAACTGCACATAAGTAGTAACAATGTACAAATAAGTCACAGTATATACAAAACTATTTCATATTTTCTAATTCAATCAAATATTGTAGTAGGTATACAGTGCAATTAAAATAAGAATATGAATGACTCTCTGTTATATTATGATGTCTTAACTGTTATTAGAAGACATATTAGTTACTTAGGAAAATAGATTTAAAAAAACATCTTGAGTACTCTAAGTCATTTAAATATCTTTTAAATAATAGTCAACGTGTTCTTATTTTAAACGCATGAAGTAGATAGATATTAAATGATATCGTCACACAATAAGTATAAATAGATAATTTGGTTAATATTATAATGTATAATTAAAAATCTAAATAATATTCGTTTTAAATTAATACAAATACCAATGCAATAATATCACTTAAAATAAACTTATTTTATATGTACAAATAATTTACATTATTTTTTAACGTTCTTATTAGACCAGTCGCCACATCACTAATAAATTTTCCGTTACAGTCAGCGTAATAAGTGAAAAAAACGTTTATTTAAATTTGGAACTCACAATTAAAGTTATAAATTTGAATTGTTCACTGTTGACTCGTTTGTGTACTTGGCGAGGGGGACCCAGACACAGGTGGTTGTACCATAGCCAGATGCGGCGGCGGCAAGCCCATAGGAGGCAACGGCCGCCCTCCACCCATCAAGGGGTGAGGGTGAAAGTACTGCTGTAGCGCCGGGTGGGGGTACAGATGGTGGGGGTGGCGGGAAAATTGCGCCATTTTGAGTTTCTCAATCTCCGCCTCTTGTACGCGTTTCGCTTTCGCGCGTCGATTTTGAAACCAGATTTTCACCTGTTCAAAACACAAAAAAAAATATCACACATTGTTTAAATATAAACAAAATATGATCCTTAACTACTTAATATGCGGTTACGGTTCTCTAATTTTAAATAAGTTATTTACCTAATACTAGCTAAGTACAATACCTAATAATAAATATATCGTATCTAAAACTTGCATCGCCTAAAAGAAAAGTGTAAAATTTACTTAACCTTTTGCACAACAAAATATAGCGGAAAAATAATTCTCTAGGTTTATTTTCAAAGAAATCTTAAGATTCAAATTTCGAATGTGATTAAAAAATGACTGACATTTAATATAAACTTCTGTTAGTCATAAATATTCAAAAACAATTATAATTATGTAATAAAAAGTTTATTGCTTGCATTAGCTAACAGCAGTGGGGAACAATGGCATAGTAGCCATTTTTAGTTCGAAAAACGGATTTAGATGGCGTCATTGGTATCGAATGGAATTCAACATTGTTTTGTAATCGTTTAAAACCCAAAACTATGTTTTTAAAAAGGTTTAATCTATTTTTAAAAAGTCATATATAGATGTTAAAATGAAATAATGCGTTTTAAAAAGTAATTTTCATATATTTACTCATTTTGTTGTTGCCCTGTATTTGTTTACAATTTAATCATTGCTAATTGGGGCTTATTGTTTCCAAAAGACTTTCATAGATGGCGCTGTTTTCATTTGTATCACCGTATTTTAAATGTTTATTTTATATTTTCAAATAATAAGTACTTACTACATTATTATGATAAATTAAACATAAAAAAAGTTTAAGTAAATATAAAACAGCTAAACAAGAAAACCATATTATGCCAGTAATACTTATTTAGAAAGTGTTGCCATATCAAAAATAAATGCATAGATTACCGATTTTTTCGAATAATCGATAACAGAATATTACAACGCATTATTCGATGGTGCTTTTAATTAGTCTTTGCAAACAGTAAAATTTCATCATTTTGTATTATACTCTTATTTGGAACGAATTGCAATGCGTAATTTTTACTCGACGACGGCAAAATAGAGAGATTTTGACAGGTATGCAAGTACTATACATTTATCTGTTCGCTCATAACTTCAAAACTTGAAGAGGGAAATATTAATTAGATTGATCTGATACAAGTGTACTCTATTATATCAACCTCCACGCGGTCACCCTGGTAATTATAGCAATTAATGACATTAGTGACATTGTTTTTCTATTAAAAAAATAAATACCTACTTATTGTAATTTAATGAATGAGAATTGAATGTGGTATAGAGTATATAAGGTCAGCTATACCTTTATGAAACCTCAATAAACAAGTGTTATATGGTATCTAAATTACTGACATTGATAGCTAAATATGAGGATCCTCGAATTTTTACAAATACTCATAAGAAACTACAAATACTCGAATTTTGCTTTTGTAGAAGGATATTTTCAACCTTACTAAATTGTACAAGGTTTTGAAACGATAATCATTCATATTACTATGATATATATCCTAATACCTACTATTCATGATAATTAGTTTTTTAATATCTCCATTCGAGGGTAGGTTATTCATAATTTATATTATTAGAATCACATAATAAAAATATCTATTTAAAATCGTAGGTTGGTCCATATTTTTTTATTATATCGAAATGACAACGAGTACTGGCAACATAAATGAAATTTTAAAAATATAAAATATAGGAATAAAAGAATAGGATAAACGACTTTAAGTCAAATGCTTAAAACATATTTTCACTAGCATTGGATTTTTTCTCTTTTTTCATCAGGTACTGAACAATTCAACTTTTGAATTGTTCCTGTTCAGAGTTCATTGAACTTCTTATTTTTTTGTCAAACTCAATAATTTAAATGTGTCTAAGAAATACTACAAATATTTAGTAAACTATCGTGTCTTTGAGGATTATCTTATACCAGGTATAACTATAAGTTGTTAAAAACTTGCATATGTAGCGTGTGTATCTTTCACATTAAAATATAATAAACATATGTACTTGGTGACCGCTTTAATGTGGTATTATTATGTTTTTATTATTGTTATGAATGTAACTTCAAAAATCTGATTTTATAATTTTTGATTGATTGAGAAAATACTGAAAATTATTAATCAAAATAAAGTACTAACTAAACAGTAGTATTATTTTTATATTTTATTAGAACTGAATGAATATGATGTATGAATAATATGTTTATTGTGCTAATAAGGTTACAGTTTAACTTTATAAATTCATTCATGTAAGTTCATGAAAATGTAACATAGGTATATGATATTGTTTTCAGATTTTCCTGACATCAACAACTTAATACTGAACAAAGTTTAAACAAATAAGAGATGATATTCTAAATCTCCTAGTCATTCAGATGAAGATAAATAACATTTTTACTGTGAAGAACAGGAGTTCAAAAGAATAAGAAATATATATGTATATACATATGAACATTTTACTGTATAAAATAATAATGCAAGTAAAAATAAGAGAAAAAAGCAGAAGAAAAATCTGTAAATTATTAATCACAATGCAATTAATGATATAATTAAATAAGTAATGCACTAGTGTTGAGAAGAAATTCCAAGTCAAATAAGTTTATGATTTAAACACATGATTATTATTATATTGCTTAATAAACAAAAACAGGAATATTTTGTGTACCAGGAAATAATAATGAAATGATTGGAATATAATATAAAAATAACAGAAGTTTATAGTTTTAGTGGTACAACAGACAAGCAGTGAAAGAAATATTATTGTAAATTATTAACAACATTTGTTTATTCTGTGATTAATAGATTATTTAAAAGTGTTTTGTTACCTGAAATAAAAATTTTATGATCGTCAAGTGTTGTGTTCATGCAATGTTAGTTTCACCTCATTCGATTTAAAATGTCAGGAATTATTTACTACATAATGATTTTGTATTAGATGGTAATCATATATATTTTTAATGCAATGTGTATAATAATTCCCATTTACATCAAAAAACTTTGTGTAAATCTATATTTCTCTGTCTATAGACTTTGGTCGTGGAATACTAATAAGAAACTAAATCTAGAGACTGTAGTATATCACAGCATCCCAGAACCTTGTATTTAAGTCATATAAGGACTTAGTACCTACCTAATACTTGCTACTTTTTTAATCAATTAATTAATTTGATCTCAATCATCATGATGAACAATGATGATAATGTTGAGAATACTGCCATGATGAATTTTATGGTGGTCATAAATAAATACCATCGTCACTATCGTCAACAGTCATTATTGATCTCATCATCATCACCGTTACCATCCCTCATCCATATTGTCAAAAGTTACTACCTACTATTATTAACTGAAATGGTAAATAAGCTGACGATCCATCCAACCACGACGCTATCCGACGTACATACATACACATATATTATTAAACAGCATTACGTCATCATGTCGTGCCCGCTACATCCCGCATACGTTATCATTCCGGAGAACATAGATGTTATGTCCAAATATCCTGTAATTTCGCAGCTTAATTTCAACTGAATAGCAACTTACATAAATACAAAAAAACTAGCAGTAAAGGCGTAGTTTGTTATCGAAGGTTCTACAAATAGGTATAACATCAAAATAAGTACCTACATGTCATTAGCACCGATGTAGTATCCCTGAAAGAACCTATACATATAACAGATTGATGGTTTGCAAATATTATTTTCAGTTTTACAAATTGCCAGTTTACCATAATTAATTATATATTGAGAAATAATTATACATTGAAAATTATATGAGGTACCCATATGCACATCAATTGATTATAGCTAAAATCTATCACTATCACATAACAATTTAAATAAAAAAAACCGTATTAAAATCGGGCTATGCGCGGTTAAGGAGCTATTGCTCCTTAACCGATAGCCCGATTTTAGTGCAGACGCGTTACGACATATCTTCGTCGGGAGAAAAAAAGCCACACATGCCTAATGTAAAAAAGTAACTGTAACATAGTACATAGATACATAGGTACATTAGCCGTGTCTGTAGACTGTCAGCGAACAATATTATACCTACATTGAATTTTCGATTGTACCCAATCAGGAGTTCGATACAGTTATATATCTATTATGTACGTATCTTTGCAAAACAGATGTCATGTAGACCGAATTCTCTGCCATCTATTTTCATGCTTTATTACTAATCACCCACTAGTAATCCGAACTGCTTCAGATATAGCGACATCTAGCGCCTACGGCGGCGAAATAAAATAGCCCGAAGAATAGCCCGAGTTAGGAAGGAACCATTTTCTTGTATGGGATGGGGTATCTGTATGTAATATTATATTATCTGTGCTAACAGTTAAATCCATGTCGAGTCTTACCTGAGTCTCAGATAGGCCTAAAGATGACGAGAACTCGGCACGTTCAGCAATGCTCAGGTATTGTTTGTCCACAAACTTGCTCTCCAATGCGCGGAGTTGCTGCGCAGTGAACGGCGTGCGCGGTTTTCTGTTCGGTTTGTGTTTACGAAGATTGCATTTTAGTTTGGGTGGCTCGCCGTTTGCATCTGCGAAAAAAATAATTTAAAACATTATTATTATATCGAATATTATATAATCTTTAAACTGGGTTATAGTCGGTTAAAGATTTAAATTATATAACAAAATTGTAAAATATTTTGATATTAACACTATTGGAACTCACTACACTATAACTATACAATTAGTCTATAAATCAGTATAGTCTATGACGCTTTAGTACTACGTTATCTTACATATATGGACATTAAATTTCAACATAACAAAGCAGTTTCGGGAGATTTAAATTATGTCAATAACAACGAATGAATGTATAAAGTAATGTTTTAAGCTGGTTGCAAGACTTGAGCATAAACTTTACTGTACTTTACTGTTATATCTTAATAACAAAAGCGTGCCGAACGATCGGAATGCCGTTTCATTCCGATGTAGGATTAATAAATCGCATTATAAAACATGAAATAAAAGACGAAGGAAACAAAACGCGATTTAATCGCGATAAAATCTATAAGGAGGCGATTTTTAACTTATTTAGCGTCGAATACAAGCATATTAATACGCAAATTGACTATTTTAATGCCGAATTTGGTTAGAAAAATTTGATATCTACGCCCACGTCCGGGCTAATGTGAGATGTAAACTGAGATAAGTTTCATTAGAGATTCGGTATTTTATTTTACCCTTTAGTGACCCCCGTTGTAATGTTTGTCGTGTTTTTATTTTGTTTTTACATTTAATTTGAAAACGTTAATTATCTTGTATCAACATCTTTCTCCAATATAACATCATCATTATCATTTTATCAATAATCCAATGATCATTAGGATTAGTGTATAATTTATATCTACTTGTGATTTTAGCGTTCACTCCCTTTCTAGCCATGTTCTTTTTTATAGTCTATTTATTGCTTTTTAGAACTTTCTTAAAAAATACTTATATCCAGGTAAGAATTATTCTTCATCATAACAATAACCCTCTATTTTAACATCATTTTACAATCAATAGATGTTACCTAATTGCTACTTGGGTTGTATATATCTATACTATTAGATATTATATAGCTGATATAGCTGAAGAGTTTAGTTGATTGGTTTTTACGCGAACCTCAGGAATAAGATGTTCAATTTTAAAAATTAATGTAATAGCTATCTAAGCTCATTTATCGTGGAAGGCTTTTAGGAAGGAAAGAAGTAATTTATGCTATATCATGCTACTACTAAAGAGCGAAGTATCAAAAAATGTTGCAAAAATGAAAAAAAAATCTTCTCTCTCTCTTATGTGACACAGACGAAATTCGCTCTAGTCTAGTTATTCTAATTCATACACAATACTTTTCGAAACAAATCAGATATTAACACTTAATCTTACATCTACAACAAATTAATTTTTGGTTAAATTGTCTTTCTATAACATTTATCTTAGCAGGTGTCGATTGATTTACGGCATAATAAATCCGTTGCCGGTACTAAAAAGTTATGTTAATCAATACGTATAATAATGAATCACTGTGATTTTATTTTATTCGTAAGTGAGTTGATGGGACGATTTAATATATTATAACCCACTTATTTTACAATCAGCTAATTGCTATTTGAGTACTAATTAATGATTTTAACTTTGATGGATTGATGGTTGATGAACACGTGTTTATGAAAGTGCTGTTACCATTTACGATGATAAAATGTATTTTCCTTAGCATTAATCAAATCAAATTCAATTATAATTAGCATTTCAAGTTATCATTATGTCATGTTATAATTACGTAGCGTAATTCTTGTTTGTTTCTTGTCAAATGATTTAACTCTCAATTTATATTATTATAACTAGTTTTGTAAATTAATCTTTTTAATATTGAATGTCACAAATGAAACTATATAACTATATGAAACGTATCTTTTTGAATTGAACGATCTTTTCAACTTTATTTTTTATTGTCAATAAAGTTTTAGTGTAAATACTTTTTAGACAAAACTATACTCTAATACCAAACAAAAAATAAAATAAAATCTCGACCAATAATTGAACTTGAATTAGTCCAGTTCTAATTTTCTATAGGATCATTATTTACCTACTCGATATACTGTTCAACGTAATTTGTATTAATTACCTTGATTATTATAACATCATTATTATATTTAAATACCGCAAGTTTTGTCAGAAATTATTTACATTACCAATATTAATCTGTATCTGGCGCTTAAAATGCCAACATATTAATCCAATGTCAAAACGAACGGCGTTCGCTTAATAGCTAATGGGCCACAAAAAGATTTAAAAAAAGTAAATTATGTGACAGATGAAAAAAGTTCAAGTGTATTAATGTCGTGTTTAGAGACGTCAAAGCGACTACCGACGACACGGCAGACGGAAATAAAGTTAAGAGCAGACACACACTTGCGTCTTTTTTGTAGCCTACAAGAATAGATTTCCAAATTGTTTCAGATGAATGGTTACTACTCTAACCTATATATCATTTAATAAGACTTTATAGTAATATGTGTAATTGTCGAACGGTGGTAAACAAGCCTTATAATTGCTTGAAAATAATATAGTAGCTCTATTTAAAAACATTTATATGCCGTATAATAATAAATTAAATTCAAATATTTGCAATAAAAATCGTGTTTACACTATATGTATAAAATTGTAATATTTGTTGCATTGTCGGATGGTGGCAAAAAACAACATTAACATCATTTGGAAGTAATAGCTCTTTAAAATATCTAAATGTTGTCTAATAATAAAGTAGATTTATTTTATTGCAATAAAAATCGTGACCACACTGCAAAAAATACAATGTGTCGCATTGTCGGACGGTGGTAAACAAGCCTTAACATCGCTTGGAAGTAATAGCCCTCTTTAAAAATACTTATATGGCACTGTCTGTTCTTGTTTTCTTGTTAATTGTCTAAAGAGATATCGACTGCAGATGTTAGACTGCTGAATTATAGTCATGTTGTGACTTTGTAAGCGACGAAAGAAATACGACACGTTTTAAACCGATCCGAGCACATTTTCCATTGTTGAAGATCATCGTTCAAAAAAGAAATGCCCGCTCGAATGAATTATGAAAAGTGGTGCTTGTTTTTTGTATACATGTAAATGTTTGACGTTTCTGCCGACGGTACCTAATGTTGCAGTGCGCTGCTAAAAAGACAGTTGATATATTAATGAGCGTGTTTGCTTTTTGTGTGCACTACACCATTAATCGTGCGAGGCGTGGTATGTCATTCATTCCAATATTTAAACGTTCACTGTATACTTGACGATTTTGTTGTAACAGTACAAGCGAGGCGGAGATTCTTCGCGTACTTGTGTCTACATGTAATAATGAAATTTTAATGTGTTTTTGTATATCTCATTTTTAAGTTTAAATGGCTAATATTGTGGTAATAGATACTAGATATTACTACACAAGATTGCCTATTCCATTCTTGAGACACAATCTCTATTCACATCAAATTTTATTAAAATCTATTAAATGTTTAAAAGCCAGATCAACATACAAACATTTCCCTAAAAACACTATAAATTTAATAAGTCATATGTCCAAGTCACGGATTTATAATAATCTATAATTAATATTATAAATGCAAATCTGTCTCTTACTTTTTTACGACTAACCGACTGTACGGATCTTAATGAAATTTGACGGGAAGATAGATTGTATCACGAGGACAGGTATATCCTATCTTATATCTCATAAGAAGCCGGCGAAGTAAATAACAGTTATTAGTTCCATAATATGCAAATCCAACTTTAAGTTCTACAATCTCTATTATTTATAAATAACTCGTTATGAAAAATAGACATCATTATACAAATTAGATATAAAATTCAATCGTTACGGCTACTAGTGTTATCAAAAATATAAATCTATGGTGGATTCGGCATATTTTTAAATGTAAATTAATATCTATTAGCTAATTCAACGTTTCAAAACATAAAACGTTATAACGTACAATATTAAGATAACGCAAAGAATTATTAAACAGGAAAGATGTATGAGCACATTAAATATATTCATAGGGTTTTAAACACAATGAACGTTTATCTTATAGCCATTAACAGATCTTCCCGGATTCCGGAATACCCATGATATTTATCTGATGATCAAACGAACTGTCTGTAAGGACTATTCATCAGTAAACTCAATCATCCTCATAAATATGGGCCATAGAAAATGCGGAAGCACAACTCTACCACTTATGTTAGATGTTTAGAGGGAGTTCCTTTGACTGAACTATCATATATCTATCCCATTTCAATGAGAGAATAGATGTAGGTATGATATCAAAGGGTCTTTGAGTATCTAATAGATTTCACAGCTATGATAATTTGTTTTCTATCTTGACATTTTTTTATAGTTTACAGACATTCTTTATTTAAAATATAAATAAATATGTAGATAGAGTTAATAATGCGAATATTATACATAGGCTTGTAGACAGCTATGGAATTTATGTACCTATAGTGTTAGTTTTTATTTACGGTATTTAGATATAATATGAAACAATATGCAATATTTAATATATGAATGTACAGATATACCTTATATATACTAACGTGAATAATTCATTTAATACAATTTTGATAAACGCGTTTACTCATAGTTTCTGAAACACATTTTTAAACGTGTAATTAATCATTATAGAAACTAACTCCTGTGGTATTAGATATCCTGGTAATAAATAATATATATATTGTAAATGCAAAATTAATTTTGTACTTTTTATGACATGTCTTTAGAATCCATAATTTATTATAATGATTATTAGTTTTTGTTAGTAGGTACTACTTCCTACTCTGTACTGGGTTAGTTACAGTTGAAAGTGATATATTTTACGGTAGAGATAAGGTCCACCTTTGATAACGTTTAACTCTAACGAATATTTTTACTGTAAGACTGCAAAAAGTCGTCGTTATGTCCCCTTTAATTCAGGTGCCGAGTAGCTTGCTTTGTAAGATAAAGCAACAAAATTACAGAATAAGTATAGTATTCTTCAAGTATATAGGCGACGGTTATTAT